ATAGTTAATCATAGAAAGAAGCAATATGTAAACGAAAAGGCTCATACTAACTCAATACACTTTTCCATATAGTTTAATTTTAAATGGCTGATGTAAAATTCTATATTATTGCTATATTTTATACCCTTTCTTACTCAACAGTTTTTAGAACAGTTCCTTGACCTACCGTGGAGCCACCTTCTCGAATAATAAAGTTTTCTTTTTCTTCAATAGTTAATGGCTTAGTCAATTCAACAGTGAATTCAACTGTGCTTCCTGGCTCTACCACTTCATCTTTATTGGCTAATTCTATCTTTCCGGTTTAGTAGTTATTTTGTTTTCCTGATTGGTAACTTCTAACTGGGGAGGGATAAATAATTCTTCACTTTTTCCCAACGGTCCCTCCACGAAAATCTTTTCTTTATCCAGATTAATTTTTACATTTGGAGGTAAAGGGATAATTCGATTAGCGATTTTTGACATTTTTTGTAATTTTTATTTAATAATATAAGGGATAATTTCGATTTTTGCTTCTGGTTCTTGTTCTGTTTCGGGCTGGATAGTTAATTTTTCTAATTGTTGGGTAATTTCAGTAGTTATTTCTTGGTCTTGATTTTGTTTGATTAATTTTTCTATGGCTGCTCTTAAATCGTTGTAATTACTATTTTTAGTTAATATTTTTTCTAATTCTAGAGCTTTAATGGTGGTATTTTTTAGTTTTTCTTTTAATTCCTCAATTTCTTTATCTTTTTCTTTATTTTCTGATTTTGCTTCTTTTTCTAATTTTTCAATATTACTGAAACAGTTTCTTCCTCTGACTCATCCGATTCCATTTCTAATTTTACCAACTGTAACTCTCTTTTAGGTTTTTGTTCATTCAATTCGGTCTGAGTTTCTTGATTAGATTTAATTATTGGCTCAGTTTGGATTTCTTTTTCTCCGGTGGACTTATTTAATTGTCTTTCTAAATCTTTAATTCTTTGGTCTTTGGCTTGTAATTGCTCTCGAAATTCCTGCTTTATTTGCTGCTTTTCCTGTTCTAATTTCTTTAATAGATCTTGGGAGTTTACCACATTATTTATTTATTATGTCTTCTATAATAAATGTTTTATATAAAAATAATGGTCGGAAAGGCGAGATTCGAACTCACACTCCCCTGGTCCCAAACCAGGTGCCTTGCCGTTAGGCCACTTTCCGGATATAAAAGAAGTTTATTGTTCCATAAAAATAATTTTTGTTCCTCTTGATTAACTTTGCCAACTTTTTCATTTTTACTGTTTTCATATCAACTATAATAAATAATTTTGCTTAATTCTTGCCGTTTTTCCTTAACTAATCACAAATTATCCTTTACTCCTCCTCAAGTAATCTTGAATAATCAAGTACATATTTTCCTCTCGCACAATAAAATCGCTACTACCGCTCCTATTTTTTCTTTCGTATTGGGGTTTTTTCCTCTCCTCTCTCGTCAATTTCTTCTTGATTTGGTTGATTTCTTTCTTGGCGGAGATTGTTTATTAATTTTCTTCTTTTCCTTGGTACAAATTGGGAACTTTAACAACAAAAGGGGACAAAGTGAATAAAATAAGGTGATTATATACGAGTTTAAACAAAAACTAGTTATATATTAATTTTATGCCAGAGTTTAAAAGTATACCTGACTTATTAGCAGTATTTCCTAACGAACAAACTATTATCAAGTATTTAGAAAGTCATAGATGAAATGGTAATGTAATCTCTCCTTTTGACCCAACTTCCAA